TCCTACCTACTAACCTCATCCTGCCCCCTTGACCTGTCCGTCCTCCCTGGACTGACCTATCTCCTCCCTACCTCCCCACCTACACTCACCTTTACTGGCTCCATCCCCGCCTCTTTGACCGGTCTGTCTCCTCTCCACCTATCTTCTCCTCTATCCATCTTCTATCTGCTCCCCCCCCCCCCCCCTATTTATTTCAGATCCCCCTTTCCCCTCCCCCATTTCTGAAGAAGGGTCCAGGCCCGAAAAGTCAGCCTTCCTCCTCCTGTGATGCTGCTTGGCCTGCTGTGTTCATCCAGCTCTACACCTTGTTATCTATTATTTTGTGTAATTTAACTTTCAGTTCATTGTAGCCGTAAGCCTTGTGATATTGCCCATTACAACACTGTTAATGTTATAATGGTCTAATGTTGTAATTTCACTCAAAGTAACATTGGGGTGAGTGTTGGACATGAGGAATTATCTAACCTTTTTTGAAATTGGGATGGAGTAACATTGAGGATAGAGTTGGGCAATTTTATTCTGCAGCCAACTGGCCTGAAACTTTTGATGCTGCCCCTGAGTGTCTGAAATAGTGAAGGATTTCATCATGAATCATTAAAGTGTCTCATCTAAACAAGGACTAATACTCTCAACAAAATAAGTCTGTAAGAAAAACTTAATTGCAATTCAGTTAAGGTAAGTTTTATATAAAAATGGATTAAGTTAGCATTTCACGACATTTTTTAAAACCTAAGGAAAAACCGATATGTGTCTTTGATACAGCTGGGTTCTTCAAGAATTTCCTGCATAAGTATCACCAAAAACAGAACTAGTATAGTTACAGTGAGACACAGATTTAACACAGTCAGATAGAAAAACTGAAAAAAAATGTTGTTATTAACTCCCTTTCTGGCTGCTGTATCTTGTCCAGGGTCCAGGCTAGAGAGGGCAAACCACCTTTACAGGAAAGGTAGGGTGACTGACGAGTAAAAATCACTGCTTCTATCTCTCAAAGCAAAGTCTGTGATTGTCGCTGGGGCAGTGTTACTTCCAGAGGTGCCCGTCAGCGCTGCTTGTTTTGGATTGGGACTGAGAGCTTCGCGAATTAGCAGAGATATCCTCTTTATGTGATTGATTTTCTGCTAGAGTTGGGTCTACTGTCAGTGGCATTGTAATGGAGGAAATGTAGCTCAAGTTAATGCAGCAGGGAACAGCTGCAGCAGGGCTGCACACCCAAAGGACCATGTGCAGTACGAGTGAATGCTGTTTCTCCGCCCTTTGTACAGACATTGCGAGGGATTTCTCCCAAAGGAATGACACAGTGCAGCAGTTGAGACCCTGAAATTGGCCTCACTGTCCTAGGGCTAGAGCAGGGAAAGAACGAGCCAGAGGAGCGGCTCCTTGATCATTAACCAATGACTTAGATTGAAAAATGGACATTGAGTTAGCAGAAAGGAGCTCCGTGAATATGTTCCCCACTATTAAATGACTAAGTGGCTACACTCAAACAAGGTAATAAAAGACTGTCAGAACCCTACAAAGCAGTACTCCCACAGTCTGTAACTTCAGGACAGGAAAGGAAACATGAGGAGGAAACTGGAGAAAACTATTGGTAGCAAGGGGATGAATTGCACATTCTAGAGAGCTATGCTCCATTATCGTAAGGGAAAGCTGCATCATATTCCTATAATGTAGTACAATTATTAATAGCATTGGTATACATATGTGTCAGCTGTCCAGTACAGGGTTTATTAACAGGAAATAGTTTTATTTGTAAATGCATTTTTAATATGGTAAAATTCACTCTAATATTAACTGAATGAGGCTGGGGATTAGTTTTAATAACAGGGAAATTCCCTTTTGCAACAAATAATACCATTGTGTGTTAGCAGATACTTAATTAAAATGGCGCAATCCAATTGGTACTGCCAACTGTTGCTAATTCCTCTCAGAAAGTCTCAATTCAGAGAATACAATATTACTATGAAATACTGTTAATGGAGCACCACATTGTGAAAGGCGAAGGAAACTACATGAAGCTTCAAGGTTGAAAACGCTAACCTATTGATTCAGGTCCACATTGCTTATGCTAAGCTTAACTCTGGTGGTGCTATGACTGCTGCAGTTGGCTTCAGCAATGTTGAGTAAGGTAGACGAAAATCAAAAAGGTTTTTTTTTGCAAGCTCGTCATTTTTCAGTGGGCTGTGGTGAGAAATATATATGTGGATTCTGGACGTGGGGGCGAGACTGCTTCGCTCTGATGCCCACGTGATGCAATACACTTACCCTTCAATCACTTTCTAGCGTCACACATGAAGAATTCTCATAATTTAGGGCAAAAGATGCTCTTTAAGTTTTACCCCAGCAAGCCTTAGCACCTTTCTGAGAGAGGGGGAGGAAATATGGGATTAGAATAAATCTATTTGCAATGGTCAGAGCAGAAACACAGTCTTAAATGTGGTAATAGGAAACCTCAGTTCTGTTTTAATGAGATTACTGTTCTCCATACCAGCAGGGAAGTGCCTTGTTCTTGGCTATCATCTCGTGGCTTAATCAGCTTCACATTCCTACCCACTAGCCATTAAAGTAACATGATCTAAAACACTACTAATCTTTGTTGGCCCATCAGTAAATGCTCAGTCAGAAAGAGTCATTGGGCTTTATTTTAAGGGTTAGTTACACTACAGGTAATGGTCACAGAGCAGGTGGGAGCAGCTGGAGGGACATTTAGCTGACCCAAGTTTCTGTCCGGTCAATATAATTTTGAGCATGTGTGCACCTGCCGATTAGGTTTTAATGCTCAGTGAGGAATAGACTGTGTAAATGATGATGCTGGAAGAGGACTGTCTAGAAGCTCTGAAAACCGCACCATTTGTAAAGTTCAGTGGGTTTACACTAGTTCCTGGTGTTAGTCTTACAGGTATGCCTTTCGTGCAACTGACAAACCAAACAGCACTCTGATTCACAAATTGCAGTGCTAACATTTGTGCCAATATGTAACCATTTCTACTTTGCCAGAATATAAGAAAAGCCGATTGGAGTGTAAGTAAAATCAGGAATGATTGTCAACATTTAACTGTTACAACATAGCTCCCAGATGGTCTTTTTAAGACATCACTTTCCATACACTCACCAGCCTACTCTTAACATTAAAATCTAACCATTTGGCATGAACAAGCACAGAACTTCGTTACTGCTCGGCAAGCAAAATAGAAACTGGCAGCATCACTAAGGTGTGCTTATCCCCTTCCATGAAGGTGTTGTTACATGCCAGTTTGACCTTGATGTGATTGAGTAAATTTCCTTATGTCTTTACATGCAGGAACACGAGAAGCAGCTTTTGTCTATGCAATCTCGTCTGCTGGAGTGGCCTTTGCTGTTACTCGCGCCTGCAGCAGCGGTGAGCTGGAAAAGTGTGGCTGTGATCGTACAGTCCATGGAGTGAGTCCTGATGGTAAGTCTAAATGAGTTGTTCGCTCAGGGGAAGAGAATTAGCCACTATCCTTTAACCTATGAAATACATGATCAAAATTAGCACAGAGCACCGAGTTGGAAGTCTTAACAAAGCAAGGAACTGCAGATGCTGCAGATCTGAAACCAAAGCAGAAATTGCTGGAGGTCTGGCAGTATCTGTGGAGAGAAAGCAGAGTTAACATTTCAGGTCCAGAATGGCAGTTCTGAAAATGAACAACGATCACAAATGGTCCATTCTCGATGTCGGATTAGGACTCATTATTGAGGTCAAGCATTCCGCGTCCAGTGATGTTATCTGAGAGTGTTTGTAGCCTGAGTTTTTTGTTACATTTATGACACCCTTAAGGGCAGAGACAATGATGCCAAATCCCCAACCAGTCCTTCTTAATTCCTGGCATGCTGGAACTACTTTCAAACCGTAAGGAATTTTAAAAAAGACAGATTCCCTCACAAAATCATGTCCAAACGCAACTTGAAACAATTGTCAAAATCTTAAGTCAAGATTCCTCTGCCTGTCTGAGGGAATAAGTGATTTAGTTCAATTACAAACATCTTTTAAAATTTGTGGCAGTATGAGAATTGGCAACTGTTTTGAATTTAAATTAAATCATGGTCAAGGATTTTAAAAGGGTTTTAAACAATCACTGCCTAATAACTTCAAACAGAGATAGTCATAGAGTCATACATCATGGAAACAGACCCTTCAGCCCAACCTGTCCATGCCGACCAGATATATTAACTTAATCTAGTCCCATTTGCCAGCATTTGACACATAGCCCTCTAAATGCTTCCTATCCATGTACCCATCCAGATGCCTTTTAAATGGTGTAATTGTACCAGCCTCCACCATCTCCTGTGGCAGCTTATTTCATACACGCACCACCCTCTGCATGAAAAAGTTGCTCCTTAGGTCCCTTTTAAATCTTTCCCCTCTCACCTTAAACCTATGCCTTCTAGTTTTGGACTCCCCCACCCTGGGGAAATGACATTGGTTATTCACCTTAGGTCAAATATTTTTCACAGTCAGTGAGAAAAAGAAAAGAAACACACCATAATAACTTGCAATAGTAATAATTATTATTGTCTAGTATTTGAAGAGTGAACTGTGTTTAACAGATATTATAGAAATCAACGTTACCACTGTTGTTTGTTATTTTAATGTTTAACCTTTATGTCAATCAAGACTCAAGACCTGTCTTCCAAAATGAGGAACATCACATAAGGTCATATGATAAAACTTATAGCCGAAATAAACTTTATGTCCGTATAAATTTACACCACTATCTGAGAGAGCAAAAACATTTTTTTCTACAGCACTTAGTGTAAAGAGAACTAAATGAAACCAAAATCATGGACCAAGCGTATCTGCTTTGGTACAGTGCTGGAGTTGGTACGTGAACGTTGAATTTGATCACTGATCTGATGGCCCATCACATTAAAAACTGGGAAATAAAACTCTGTGGAGATGTGGAAATGGAAATCAAACTGCAAATCCTATAAAGCAGTGTGAGTGTGATCTCCATAATTGGCAGAAAACCTCCATTTCAGTTTACTGTGTGCAGCGTAATGCACCTCAATAACTATTAAACAATTAATACAAAAGCATAATTTTTAAATGCTGAAAATATGAAATTGACAATGCTGGAAATACTTGAATATCAAGCTGCATCTGTGGAAAGAGACACAGAATTGACACTGCAGGTCCATGACCTTTCATCAAGGTTCTGATGGAAGTCCAGTTCCATTTCTTTTTCCACAGATGCTGCCTGACTACTGAGTGTATCCCTCATTTTCTATTTTCGTGAACAATTAACTCAATTGCACCAGTTTGAAACTAGTGCATATTTTTGGGAATCCAGTTGGGAATCCAAACTTAATGCTATTGGAGTGGTTCTGTATTGAAGATCCATCAGTAAATATTGGAGCACCATGTTGAATTGTTACATGTCCACATGCTAAAGCAGGAGTCAGTTTGTCTTCCCAAAACTGTTTATCTATATCTCTTCATGCAATTCAAACACAGATTTGTTCTTTCCCCGTATGTAACTTACCACCCCGAGTGAGGAAAACCAGCTCTTAAATGTGTACTGTGACAAGTGCCTGCTGCCCTGTCAAATTCTCTTTTAAATGGGCCATCTTTTACAATTTTGTTAGCTCAAAGGGATTTTGTGATCAATTTTAATCTTTCTCCACCAACATATGAATGTAGAATAAAGCCTATTGTATGGGGTGAACTTGATGAACCTGAAGGTGTTTTCTCATATTTCTTTTCGCATGTTCACCTATACTCCAAAAAAAATTAATACTTTCAGGAGTGGAAATAGGGAAAATATTGATTTTGTTTTTAAAAGTGAGTAATATGTAACCATTAATTAGCTATCAGGTTACTGTTTATGCGAAACGGTATACTGTAATTCCAAGACTTTAAATTTGATTTAGTTCCTGGTTTGACCTAGGCCTGACTTGATTTTGGAAATAGCTGGATTGTTCACTTCTGAATTAGAAAGGCTTTTTTGTTCCAATTATTAGTATTTCTTCATTACTGTCACATTCAGGTTTCCAGTGGTCAGGCTGTTCAGATAATATTGCATACGGCGTTGCCTTTTCCCAGTCTTTTGTGGATGTAAGGGAACGAAGTAAAGGAGCTTCTTCGAGCAGGCCACTAATGAATCTGCATAACAATGAGGCAGGAAGGAAGGTACGTTGTTTATAATCCTAAAACCCTGACTCTGTTCTAAGTTGTTCCCACTTGAAAAACTGTGCAGCATCAAATCAGATATGAAACAAGCTTCTGCTGATAGAGAATGGAATCATAGAATCCCTCACAGTGAACCTCCAAAGACCATCACCACCTCACCCCCATCCCCATAACCCTGCATTTCCCATGGCTAATCTACCCAACCGGCACATCCCTGGACACTATAGGCAATTTAGCATGGCCAATCCATATGTAACCTGCACATCTTTGGCCTGTGGAAGACTCACGCAGACACGGGGAGAATGCGGAAACTCCACACAGACAGTCACCTGAGGCTAGAATCAAACCTCAGTCCCTGAAACTGTGAGGCAGCAGCGCTAACCACTGAGCCACCATATTGCCTCATTATTGTATTGTACTGAAGTTCCAGCTGTTTATTGTACTGATAACCTCCTGTGTTCAACATTATAATTCTGGGGAAAACAGATTAAATAATTACGTGTTTGCAAAGCTGATTAGTGCTGACAGGTTCGCGAATGATGGAGCACTATTTGCCAACATATGGTGACAAGTGTATTGTTGGATCGCAAAATGGCTATGGATGTGGAAGACCATTTGACTCATATTAGTTCATCCATCCTAAAGTTCACCGAACAATTGTAAACTACAACAATTTCAGGGCTTTGCCTCTATTACTCTGCTTGGAAATCCATTCCATATAAAACTCTTAGCGTGAAAAACTTCCTAGCATCAGTTCTAAATTGCTTATGTATGCCTGTGTCCCTGCACCAAATTTCATAATTTGGGCTAATATTCTGCATCTACTTTTTCATGTCCATGTTAGCAGCTGGACTGCTGCCCCAGCTAATACTGAAGCTTGAGGACTGAAATTGAGACATTTCTCATTGATTTGATGGGGCACTCTGTTTCAATGCTGAGCTTGCATTTTAGACATGAATGCCGAAATTATCCCTTACACTACATTTCCCTGAATTCCTTATCTGTCAAGCAAGAGTAGGAATTCCAATGGTCACAGATCTAAAGTTACAATTCTGAATTAATTAATTGGGATCAATCGTACATCTGAATTTTAAATATAAATTGATTTTGGAATCTTGATATCCAATCCACATATAATCCATGAAAGATCCAATGTTTTAGAGTCTGCTTCTCTTGTTTCCATTTCACAGAATTCAAATTGTCTGATAATGTTAAATGCTAAATTTCCACTTTGCAGTTTTATTAATTGATTTATCCAACAACTTTAACTTAGCAATTATTAATGCAAGAAGCAATTAAATCGTCAAGAGCTAAAATTATCTGCATTAAACAACATTTCTGGATTAATTTAGTGGCTAGTTGCCAGTATTTCACCATGCTGTGGAATTAGAGTAAGTGTTTTACCCATTTGCAAATTTGTTCAGCTAAATTATTGATTAGTCTTCAAACATTTATTTTGTGGATATTATTGACTTGCTGCAGATTTGACTCCAACAACACCATGATAGTATTTTCTTTTTAAGTTACTGACTAGAAGTAAATATGTTCTGACTTCATTAAACTTCATGTTTTTTGTCACTATCTTACATTATGATTGGAAAGACCTCCTTTTTTTAGCATCATGTGTCATTGACCAATGAAATGTAGAAGTTAATTCAATCATGTTCTTACTCTAATACTGGCTCAAAACAGGTTCTTTTGATTTAGCTGTCTGTCAAATGCAATGTGTGATATTTAAGTCTATATATAAGTTATTTACTACTCTGGAAATCAGTATTAGGCTTTGCACAGAACAGGAGGCGAATCCAGTACTTCCTGCTTTGTGCCACCACTTCAGACGAATTTCAACCCCCAAGTTTGTCTCCAACCTATAGGATAGGCACTTCGTCCTTTATAGAACTTCATTATGTACGAAAGTGGCATAAATCAAGTAATATTTATGTCTTTTCTCCATCTACTTGTTCAGAGATGTTATTAGATACCTCTGAAACAGGTGGGACTTGAACCCAGGCCACCTGGCTCAGAGGTAGAGACAATACCACCGTACCGTCAAGTGTCCCCTACCAATTATGTTTACCCCAAAGGAAGCAATCAGTTTCAATCCATTACAATGAGGACAGCCAGATCCTTTAACATTGTATCAATCAATTTTCCTACTGGACTATGTTGCAGGGCAAGAGTGTGAGGGCTATTTTAGTGGCATGTTAAACCTTCTTGTGTTCTAGGTCCCATAGCTCAAGACTGTTGAGTAGTCGGTTACCATTTGGAATGTCTCACATTGATATCACTTGGTTAGTAATATTTCTGTCTTCTGTGAGCTGTATGGAGATGGTAGAAGGTATGGTAGTAAATCCTACATAGATTGTATTTGTTCTTTTCCAGAATACTCTTCATTAGCTTCCAAAGTTAATATTTTTCTCATACTTCCAAGTACATCTACATCTCCTTCCAAGACTTTCCAACTCATCCTCCAACATATCCACCATATGTGCTATTTTCCCCAGCTTGATTCAATGCTTATTGACACATTACACTTCATAGAATCATACAGCTGTACAGCATGGAAACAGGCCCGTCGGTCCAACTCATCCATGCTAACCAGACATACTAAATTAATCTAACCCCATTTGCCAGCATTTGGCCCATATCCCCCTAAACCCTTCCTAATCATGTACCCATCCATTGAAATGTTGTAATTGTACCAGCCTCCACCACTTCCTCTGGCAGATCATTCCATTGACACACCAACCTCTGTGTGAAAAAGTTGCCCCTTAGGTCCCTTTTGAATCTTCTCCAAGGGGCAAGATTTTGCTCCTTTCCCCAGTGTTCTTTAAGTCTTTTTCCTTTCCTTCTCAACTATATCATTTCTCCCTGTCCAAATTTACTTTTCTCATAGCTGTGCCGCACTAATTTACCCCAAGATAACTTCAGTATGTTCTATCATGGTCACCATCACCTGTGCCAACTCGGGAACTTCTTCACCAGCAATCTCCACCAATCCTCCTCACTCCTCGAGCCAATGCCAAAGCTGCCTCCGATGCCAGATTGTTTTCATGGTTTAAATATAACTTGGTTCTTAAAAAGGGAGACAAGGATCATGTGATGCAGACACGAAAGTGCGGATGAGACCTCAATCAGATCAGCTATGATCTTGTTAAATAGTGGGACAGGCTCAAAGAGCCAGTGGTCTACTCCTAAATGCTATCTTCCCTATCTCCCTATGGTATGTGTAACTAGGCACACTGTGTGGATTTTTACAACTACCATTACCACATTGTTGTTAGCTTACTTTCAATATGAAAGCGTCTGAGCTTCGAAACTCATAGTGAGGGGCAGCAGACAAGGCATCTGCTATTGCGTAAATGTTCCACGATAGCAGGATGTTCCAGGAACTCGGCAGTACCATAAATTCCCCATCAAAGCGACACCACCCCTTGGAGGATGCAGCTGTTTCCAGAGTCGGTCACAATTGCACTATTAAAACAAACACTGTTCAAAATGTGACCCAGACCTCCTCCAACAGAACTGTAACACATGAACAATATTGTTGCACTGCATCACATCGAGTATGGAAACAGTTTCGCCTTGGTTGTTTTCCACATTTTCTAATTGTGCCTTCTTTTTCCAGGCCATTCTGAACAACATGAGAGTGGAATGCAAGTGTCACGGGGTTTCGGGATCGTGTGAAGTGAAAACCTGCTGGAAAGCCATGCCTCCATTCAGGAAAGTGGGCAATGTGCTGAAGGAAAAATTCGATGGTGCCACCGAAGTCGAGCAAAGGAAAGTCGGTTCCACGAAAGTCTTGGTGCCCAAGAATTCACAGTTTAAACCCCACACAGACGAGGACCTCGTGTACCTCGACTCGAGCCCGGATTTCTGTGATCATGACATTCGGAACGGGGTCCTGGGAACCTCCGGGAGGCAGTGCAATAAGACATCCAAGGCCATCGATGGTTGCGAGCTCATGTGTTGTGGCCGCAGCTTCAACACGGAGGAGGTAGAGATTGTGGAGAGGTGCAGTTGTAAGTTCCACTGGTGCTGCTTCGTCAAGTGCAAGCAGTGTCGTAAAGTGGTAGAGATGCACACATGCCGGTGATGAGAACCATTACAGGTCAGCCAAGGCAAACACAGGTCAATCCCCGTGCGGGGGACTAGAACACTCCAGCAATTCCAAGAAGACAGATAGAGAGAAAACACTATTTAAGATGTCCCAAAGGATCCTTGTTTTATTTTTTTTAATTTATTGCTGACTAACAAAGATCTGGAGGTACTTCTCCACGGACTGTTACTGCTCTGGTTGAACTTACCTCTCTGTTACTGATGCTGCTTATAAAGGAACAAAGGGGTGGAACAAGGAGGCAGAAAATGGTCTGGTTTGACACTGGTATTATTGCACAGGCCTGTTCTGGAATTGATACCTCTTCAGTTGTACACTGCTATCTTACAAACATATCTGGTTTAGAACTCACTTCACTATGTCTCCAATTCTCCATTAATTCCTGCTGTCCTCTGATCATGTTAACGTTACCTCCAGCTGCCAGCAGACCCTGCCGATGATCGTGCAGTCCAGGCGATCTGGCTTGTCCTGTAACCTCTCCATCCATTCACCAGCCTTGTGATTGTCTCCCGTTGCATAGCGATGCCTCTCGCAGAACTCCAGTGGTCTCCGGATGACTCAGTATGTCAATACCTCCAAACTGCGTACATTCCAAACTTGTCATTACAAGCCTTCACACAGCTCCCAACAGCTTGCAGTGACTGGCACATCGTGGTTTCCCCCACAAGCATGTGTGTGTGATTTTACTTTGTAACAGAGAAGACAGCACTATACCGTCAATAATTAATTTAGATGGTACCAATTGTAACATAATGTATAGAGTCGGTGAAACAGAAACAGACCAAATACAGAGAAAAAGCCTTAACAGGCTGAAATGCACGCTGGACAGACTAACAGAATGTATTATAACAGTATTCTGAATATTTCAGTTACAAATAGACTATGTCAAGATGAAATGAATCCTGGAAGATTCTATCTCAAACAATGCTTCTAGTACGATGTAAAGCACAGTACAGTTCAGCCTGTTCAATGATCCTAGTGTTCATGTATTGTTGACCATGTTATCTGGACAGAAATTTGTGCTACAGATTTTAAAGATCTAGAATCCTAATTTTTGATCATCTGCAGTTGTTCTTGTGCTGGAGTTACCTTTTCTCTTCTTTCTTCTATATGTACATGTGCATCACTTTAGACCAATGCGAAACTTACACCAAAAGGGACAGAGTGCCTCTAAGAATTAGACTTTGAGCTGGGTCTAAATCCACTAAGTTAACTGCTGACTGTCATTGTGTTTGGGCACTTAACCAAGTTGCTAGTGAGTGTGGGCCCACAGCACTAAACCACCAACCACCCCCCCACCGCCCCCCATCGCCCCACCTCCCCCCTCCCCCCACCATTTAGCACAAGCTTGCATCAAATTTGCGATATTTCATAGAAGGACCACAGGGTGGTTGATTTGGAAAGAGGAAAACCCCTTGGTGCAGAGGCTCTATTAAACCTGATTGTCTGACCAAGTGGGGAGCTTCACTCCTCATCTGATAGCTATATATTTCCTGAAAGAGGTGATGCTGACACTCGATAATTCAAACAGAAAAGTATAATATTTCCTCTTTATAATGTCCCTAATCTTGAAGATTTCCTAGCAGGTGGCCAGGCTAGTTAAAAACTTCGATATGCTAACTTCAATGCTGCTATCTTGAACTGTGGTTTTTTTTTTCAAGATTCCAGTATGTTATTTCATAAAATATAGGCTGCTGTTTAATATTAATCATATGTTAGCTTGTCTCATATTTCCAATGCTTTTTGTAACAAAATAAGAAATGTTCCTTAGAGTTATTTGTAATTCTGTGTGTGTATTTTAAATGAACAGGCATTTTTATTTAACAATAATGAACAAGAGTGGGATCATCCAGGCAAATGCAAAACACTGAGCATTGTAATAAAGGAAGGGACTCTTTTCAATAACTGTGGTTTCATACCAGTCGTAGTTGGATTCAGATTTAATGGCAGCACCTCCAATGATTGGGATTAGGCTATAAGTACGACTGTGGCAAACAATTGTAAGTCAATTAAGTTCTGCCACTTCCAAACAAGCTAGGCTAGTTCTCCCTGAGAAGGAGCAAATTTTAAGGAGCCATCATTTTGAAGTTTCAAGGCTCACTCAGCGCATTACAATCCTGCAGGTTCTTGTCTGTACTGTGGTAGAGGCTGGGCCTGTTTCAGTGCTGTATGACTCTACAAACTATATCAACCTGATACCAGGGGAGAATATAAATTTAAAATCAGGAATTTGTTGGTAAGAAGGACGGTCAAGCGAAAAAAACATCTAGAGGGGTAATAAAGTTGTAGAATAAATGACCAGGGAAAGTTGTTGCAAAAATGACTCAGAGGCAATCGGGTCCACTTGTCCTTTGGGGAACCTAATAATCTTCTCCCGTTTCTAAAAGTAACGTTTACAACCTTCACGGCCCACCCCACATGGCATCAATCAGTTTTCTCTTCCACCTTCCCTTTCTTATGACTAAGTCTTTAGCAGGTCCAACTCTGACAGGTTCCTTGCTTCATGCATTCACAAATCAGATAAAGTATGTGAGGATTTTTTGCATGAGACAGCTCCAGTCATACTGTGGACTTTATACTCGTGCTGTAGCTCTGGCAGATTGCTAAGGATCATAGTGGCCTTCTGAGATGTGATGTCACAAAGGTGCCAGCTTGTTTTGTAGAAAGAATTTGCTGTCATTTTTCATAGCATGACTTAGGACTCTTCACTTTTGAATCTATACCTTCCCTATTCAAAACTCACGAATTTTAAGCTGCGACAAGTTGCAAAATTCCGAAGGAAGGATTGTCCATCTTAAGAAATGGCAGTTGATTTCAGCTGGGCATTAAAATTGACCTCAATAGAAAAGGGAAAAGATAAGTCAAAATCAACTTGAAGTCCCTCCAGCTCCTACTTCCTGTAATTGACTGTGTCTGGTAGCAGTGAGCGGCTCAACCCTTACTGAATCACCCACAAACTTTGCTGTTGTAGCTTTGAACACAGAAAATGCCGACTGAAGTCAGGACTCAGGACAGCTAGCTAGTATTAACTATTACAACACAAGTCAGCACCTCCACCAGAGACAGAAAGGAAATTGAGAAAGAAACTATTCTCACTCTGAGATGTGACTGTCGTCCAAGTTCATTTATTTGACAGTAGGATAGTGAGGCGGTGTTGCTTATGGATGGAAGTGGGCTGGGATGAAGAGAAAAGAAATGACCCTCTTCAGTAAGATGGAGGAAGTAAGATAACACAATTCCCTCATCCAACAATAGTCTGCCTTCTGCTGGTCAACCGTGCAGCTACACCAATATTGTTTGAACAGGGCCATAGACTAAAATCCTACCATTTAAGGAAGTTTAAGAGAGAGCAGCCCCACTAGGAGGCTACAGAGCAAACTGAGGGGAGACTGCAGTAGCAACAGTTCTATTCTAATAAGAATAGAATAATCAAACACTGGAAAAAGTTGTAAAATAGATTTGTATAGGAATGCCAGTGTAATCTAAATAATGTACAAATCCTAATATATTTGTTTAGACAGATTCTATGTGATTTTCAGTCTACGATATTCTTAATACAGAATTAATAAACATGATGTTTGCACTCCCAAATGAAATCAGCCTTATTCAGATGCACGTATGTTATACACAGTGAATATAAGGTATTACCAGCTCCTGGTATTTTGAGGTCCCAGTGCTGAACAGACACAAAACACTAAATGCATTTATGTTTAACAAGCAAATATTTTCATTTTCAGGTATGTTACTTCCTTGTATCATTCAAATAAAATTAGTATAAGTGCAGTTTGAGTCATGTGGTGCAATATTGCTACTGCTAGAAAGTGAGACTGAGCAATATTATGAAGTGGAGCTCCATCCCTGGACTAAAATGAACACAGAGAATGCCAGATAAACTCAGCAGGTCTGGCAGCCTCTGTGGAGGGAGGACCTGAGTAAATGTTTAGAATCCATCACGGCTCCTCTTCGGAACAGAGTCTGTTCCTGTATTTGAAACAAAAACAGAAATTGCTGGCAAAACTCAGCAAGTGTGGCAGCATCTGTGAGAAGAAAGCAGATTTAACGCTTCGAGTTTCATGACTCTTCATCAGATGTTTTTTATTTCAGAACTCCAGCAACCACAGTTCTTTGGTTTGTTTTTCCGTCCCTGTACTTTATTGCTTTAGCGAAATGCCCTTTTAAAATTGCTGGTGCTCTACTAAAACAGGGACCCTTTAGTTTATTGAAAGGATTTCTGCATTGAGGAGAATGTTCAGGTATTCCTCCCTCCTCATCAGGCATTCGGTTTCCACCAATTAAGGAGATAATGAATCCCACAGTAAAGTGGATCAGAGTGACCTCGTATACGATTGTTCCTGTCTGTAAAAAAATGGTACGTTCTTAATTCATTCTGAGTTACATTGTGATATTCTAAAGGACATTTTCCTTCTTCTGAAAGAAGGATAGTCAATGACTTAACCCACAACCAAACAGAGTTAGCAAAATCTTAAAGAGCACCAGTGAAATTTATTCCGTCTTGCCCATCATTGACTGTTCACTTTGAAGAATGAGGTAAGTGGGATCGTTTTGGGTTTGAAGTAGCCATACAGTTGGCAACAGAAGATCAGAACCCAGACATCCTGTGCAGTAATAAAAACAAAGTGCTGAAGAAACTCAGTTGATCGGGCAGCATCTGTAAAGACACGGAGTTAATGTTTCGAGACTAATATGACTCACCATCAAAACTGAAGAGAGGGGTGGAAGAGTGATGGGCTTTATACTCTGAAAAAAGCTGGTGAGGGCCAAATGGAACAGGAGGAGGAATTTCATGATGACGGACCTTTGAAGTCACAACAAAAGCTACAAATCTTGTGTATAAATGACTGTACCAGTGCTGCTTCTTGCTCTCGTCCAGAGCCGGAGTCGGTGGTGATTTAACAATTTTGGTTGCAATTTCCGCCCTTATAAATTTCAACTAGTCCATCTTTGACTCTTACCTTCTATTCCTTGACTTGTCAGTCTCCATTTCCAGTAATAAATTGTCTATTTAATTTTCATTGCACTCATCCAACAGCTAACCTGACTAGCCTTCCTCACACCCTCATTTCTTTAAGGGCACCGTTCCATTTACTCTGTTTCTACATCTCTGTCACATGTGTTCCAATAATGCTACCTCCTACAACTGTGCTTCTGACATGTCTTCCTTTCTCCTCAAGTGAGGATTCTCCCACTCTGTCTCTCGCACTTCTGTCCTCACCGTTATCCCCCCCGTTTCAGGATCAAAATGGGGTTCTCCTTATCCTCACTTAACATTTCATCAGCATTCATATTCAAAGGATCATCCTCCTCCATTTCCACCTCATTCAACATTATGACACAACCAGAAATTATCTTGCCTCCGCTCCCCTATCGGCATTCTGTTGTGATACCCAGGCCCACTCCTCTGTCACCCCCAACAACTCAGCCCTCTCCAACAGCACTTACTCCTGCAACTGCTGAAGTTGTAACTTTTACCCTTTCCCCTTTATTTCCTCACTCCTCACTGCCCAAGGTCCCAAACATGCCTTCCAGGTGAAGCTGAGATCTATTGTACTTCTTTCAATCAGGTTAGCTCTATTCTCTATTCACAATATGGTCTCCCTTACATTGGTGAAACCAAACAGAGATTGAGTGACTGCTTTCTGGAACACTTCTACTCTGTCCGTAAGAATGACCCTGACTTTCCAGTTGCTTGCTATTTCAATGCACTATCTTGCTCTCACCTTTGTCCTAAGCCTGACGTAGTGTTTCAGCAAAGGCCAATATACGCTGGAGGAACAACACCTCATTAGTTGCCAAAGCACTTTACAGCCCTCTGGACTCGACATTGAGCTCAATAATGTCAGGGTATCAGTCCTGTCCTCCATTTTGTTTCCTCCAGTATTCACCCGACCACCTCTCCTAGTGCCTCGGTTTTACTTTCAGCAAAGCTGACCTGTGCTCTGCTCTTAACACCTTGTTTTGGACTTATTCCTCTTTTCTACAATCATTACCACTCCATTAACATTTTGTTCTGTAACACCTCACTCTTTAACTTTCCCCTGACCTCTCATCTGTTTCACTTTTTCATCCCCATTCTATCCCCCTCTCTTCAAGGATCATATCAGACTTATTTTGTATTTTCCGTTTCTGTATGCACAGATGCTGTGAGACCTGTTAACTTTCTCCAACACTTTCTGTTTTTATTGCAGATTCCCAGCATCTGCAGGTTTTTACTCCTGGTTGTTTTAGCGCAGTATGGAGCAGACTCTCATTCAGTTAGCAAACTAGAGCTT